TACTCTTAATAAAGTCACAATAAAGAAGTAATAGGTTTTATAAATGTTAGAATGTATAATTTTTGTACTTTATGTATAAAAAAACAAAGTTCCTTTTCTTCAACATAAATTAATCTTTTCTGGTTGAACTATTAAGTTATTTGAGGTAAAATAGATGAATCCCACTTAAATCCTAATGTTCTATATAAATATATAAATAATAATCATATAAATTAACTTCAAACATTTCCCTAAATGTGTTAACACATATTAACAGATATTACTTTAAGAATTTGCCAAGTTTTATTAACATTAACATTCTGCTGGAGAAGATAAAAATTCAAAATTAATTGCATGTAATCTTATTTGGTGAATTTCAAAGAGTGTGTAAATTACTACTCTTGTATAAAAAAAAGTAATATGGACTTTGATATGATATTAAAATAATGAAATTTTAACAGATTAGAAATTTATGAAACTTGCAGCATTTGTTTTAGAAAGACATTACAAAGTAATTATGTACTACTATGTATTTTTACAGCCATCCCAAAAAAGAATACCAACTTTGCCTTTCAACACAATGGGAAATTTTACAAAATTGTCGGGAACAATTTCCAGTCACTGTCTTATGAAAGAGCCAAGGGTAAACAAAAGCAAGCTAAGAGTGTGGATGTGTGAATTCCAGTTACATTACATGTCAGAAAGTGTATTAAAATGATATTTACAGTGTGTGTACATATATTTGTATATTTTAGAAAATAAAATGTAAGTTTTCCTTCAAAGTAAAATGTGTGGTGAGATTTCCTAATTTTAGCCATCTTTAAGATGACTTGATTACAACTACTATACAGGTTCTGGCAGTGACTAAATATTTCTTGCTTTATTTCATTTTTACTAAACTATGAAATTAGGAATGAAATTAATTGTATCAATTGTTTTAAGTTTTAGTATGAGTATGAAAGTTTTTATTTTGAATTATTTTTTAATAAAATCTAAACCTTCTGTTTCTATTTCTCTTATTTATATCTATTGTATAAAAATAGCTATTAATTATGTATATAATAAAACGAACTTTGTAATATCTCCTGCTGCTATGGTTGAATGTTTAGTGGAGATTGTGATTTTGAGTTTCATGTAGAAAACACAAATATATGTAATATTCAGAAAGTTTTATCAAGTGTTATATTGAGAATAAAAGCTATTCCAGATAAACAAAAATCCAAACCTTTAACACCATTTTGACACAGAATTCCCACGGTTCTGGAAATCCTTGAAAAGTTTTGAAATTTTTTAACATCATTTCTAAGCCTAGAATTATTATGGAAAATTCTGAAAGGTTTTGGAAATTTGTGAAATTTAGATAACAAGCTGACCCAAAAATTTCAATGAAGTTTAAAGATAAATAAACCATTTGAAAACATCAAATGTCAAGCAAAAAGACTGTTTTGCTGTGTGACCATGTGCACACTGTCGTTTGACATGCTGCACTGGTCCAAGAATAGGATTATGTTTTAACCGATCTGTTGATACTGTTAATAAACCATGTAGATAGCTTTTATAATACTTTGTTAAACATAGCATCTTTAACTAGAAGATGTTAAGAATACTAATATTTGTATTAAAAGGTTACAGTTTTGCATAATATACTCTATAACTATAAAAGGCTTCTAAACATATATGTGTGTGTATCCTAGATCTTAAAATGTTATATCATTCCTATGAATCAGACACATGATTAACATTAGAATCTAATGTGTAATCTTAATACCTATGCCTAATGTGTTAACTAGATCTAGACTCTAGATTTGGATCTACATTGTAACCTAATAAATTTATTAAATTGTTACAACTGTAGACATCTAATTAAGTCTTTGCTGATAGATGAAGTTTTGTATGTAGTATACCAAACAAATCAAGTAACAGTTAGATCTAATGTTCAGTCTAGAGTTCTAGAGATTAAATAAGTAATGTACTTAATATTAGATCTAGATTTTCAATGAAATCAGTCAATTTTCTTGTACTTAGAGGATCATATGTCTGTAAGAATATGTCTAAATAGGAAATGTAAAGAAATTTTACTTACATGAAGTAGCTGCTTAGTTGTATTTGAAGGATTTGGATATAGAACTAATAATAAATTGGATCTTTTTCAATAAATGTTTATCTGTTGCTGCTTGCATATGCATATCAGCATTTATAGACCAAGGCCTAAATCTGACTTGTGTTAACGTTACATCTCCTTATACTTCTATATCAGTATATGCTTATACCAGCTATGGAAAGAAAGTAATAACTCTGCATCCAACATTTGTAAAGTAATATAATGTTATAAATCATTATACATTTATACCAGTAAAGTTTTCATTTAATCTTTTATTTGGTCTATAGTGTAACTAAAATCTACATAAATTTATGATATGTCAAAAATATACTGGCATCTTTGTTTATTACAAATTGATTTTTCACAGTACTGCATGTGCAGCACACACACATCATGTTATGTAGACAGTAAGTGTAAAAATTAATTTACCTGTGTTTTCATTGCTGCATTAAGACTCACAATTAGCAAAATATTTTCAAAATAATGCAATGTAATGGACATCAAGTGCTGCCAAATCAAAACTGGGCCATCATGTACAGTTTCTGTTTAAATTAAAGTCAGTTTTATTCATGCTAACCCTAGATTTATTTATTTGTAGTAAGGAATTCTCATTGAAATTTTAAGAATCTTGCTAAAACATGCTTCACATATAGAAACAATAACAGAAAAATTATAATGATGTTTAATAATACATGCGTATTATAATAAAAATTGTGATTCTTAATGAATAAATAACAATATTTAATAAAATATATCTCGATATAAATCTTAAGATAAATAATATGTAATAACTTTTACCAATTGTAAGGAAATTAACAACATTACATAATTTAATACCTTTGAGTACTGAATATAATTTGTTAAAACACCAATATAAAATAATCAAATGAACATTGTTTTTATTGTGAATTTAATTTTTATCTTTGTCCACCAGCATGTTTGCAAAATCCTAGCCAGTTGCTTTTCAAATCAAAATTACCAGGAATGGTTAGAAAGGGATTCACATCATAGAAAAACAAGATGGAACCATGGCAAAGTTCATATGACATGAGCAACATGAGAGAGGCAGCTTTGCATAGTCATATGACATGCAAGAAACATGAAACCATTGAAGACAATATCAAGCAACAATACTACTATCTTTACATTTTTCAAACCACCTATCTTAAAAAAACAAACTACCACTATGACTGCCACCAGTTCAACTTCCAGTGTCCAGTCAGTAAAGAACGAAGTTTTATGGACTTGACTGTCATGATTTATTTAATCCAAATGAAAGAGTCACAGAACTTTTCAAGAGTATGCTCCCCAACAGTGAAATTGCCTAAAGTTATCCTTTGTGGAAGACAAAACATTATACTTAGCTGTGCATGGATTAGCTCCATATATCACTTCCATATTGAAGTAGAAAACCCAGAATTTTGATGGATATATTTTCATGTTTGATGAGAGCTTGAACAACCCCTTGAAGATGAAACAGTTTGACATTCATGCTCGCTTTGGGAAGGAATAAAATGTCCACGTAAGATACATCAAATCAGAGTTCTTAGGACATGCTACTTCCATTGATCTATTTATCAAACTGTTCCCTATCATCACAGATCTCAGTTCTAAGAATTTATTGCGTATATCTATGGACGGCCTTAATTTTAATTGGAAATCAACTGAAGCTAATAAACTCAACTCAAAAAGACACTGGTTATAAATTGGATCTTTTATACACTATTCATTAGGCTTTTAGAGATGGTTATAAAGAAGCTGACTTGAAATTTGAAGAAACTACTAAATTTCTACTATTTTTTCAAAGATTCACCAACAAGAGCTGGTGACTTTAAAAGTGAAACTGGATTCTTAGACCTTGCACCAATGTTTTGTAAGCAGTCATGGCTGGAGAACATGTCATGGAAAAGTGTTTATTCCTGCTACTTCATCTTAAAACACATGTGGACATGCAGAAAAACTCACCTAAATTAAAGTCGTTTGACAGTATTATGAAGCTTTTAGTTCCAATCTCTTTATCCCCAAAGCACAGTTTTTTCTCAGGTGCTAGAGAAAACCTTTTCTCAAAAAATTCCAACATAACAAACTGATGTTACCTTTTATAGCTGCAGATCTCTCTGATTGGATTGTTGGAAAGATTTGTCACTTCAGAACAAATGTGAAACATAACCGAACCACACTATGTTGCAAGCCTGGATATGATAGGCAAAAACATATATGAACCTTCCAAAATTGAAACTGGTTTTGTCACAAAGAAAATTCTTAATGATTTAAAGAGAACTTCAAAAATTAGTGATAAAGACTTGCCAGGCTGTATACTTGAATGCAGGAAATTACCCAAAGCTGTTCTAAAAAATATTCAGAAGTTCCTCTTAACTTATATCTTAGTAAGGAACACAAGCTGCTTGAATCTGGAAGTGATGATGTTAATGGCATCATTCAGTGCTGTTATGTTTTTATCTTGTCTAAAAAGTGCAAATCAAGTGGAAGAAAGGGACTTTGACAGTATTCTTGGGCAGTACAAAGAGTTTTTCATGACATCCCTGCAATTGCCCGATTCAAGAGTTCATATGTTTCAAAGAGACCAGGACAGACTGGATACTCTGTATGTCCATCTCCTGTCAGACAAGAAACAATTTCAGGTGTTTTGAAAAGTTTGCAGAGCCACAGAAAGGTTGAAGAAACTGAATTGGAACTTGAAGATCCGAAATATATGATCATATTTGAGTCTAACATTAACCAGTTCCTTTGTAACCCAGACAAAATGGTCATTGAAATGTCATGAAATTTCATTTCTGCATAGGTGCAGGAACCTTGGACACAGACCTTTATTTCTTAGAGTTTGCCATTGAAAATGGAATGTGTTTTATGCATCAGAAAGAATGAAGAACACAATTGTAGGGTGATAAATTAACAAAAAATTAATAATCTAATCCAAATGTCAAGGTGGTGATACACAATATAAAACTGTGATTACTGATTTGGGCCATATCATAGAAAGATGTGGTACACTTGATATTCTCACTGTTGTGGGGTTTTTCACTGGAAAGATGATACAACAGAAGAGCTTACATTATATTAAGAAAAATGCATGGCGTTACCTGATGTTTTCAATAATATGTTCAACTAAATCTAAATCTAAAAAATACCAAGCAGTAGCTTATATTTCATTCTAGAAAGAAAAGCTTGGTGTATTCATTGTTTTTGTCAAGTTGTACAACTTATGCAATAGAAGAAAAATATGTGTGTGAAAATGGATTCTGATTGTCAAAATCTAGAATTCAGTCATATACAACGGTTAGTCCGTTTTCAATTTCTTGAGTAGGAACCAGTATCTACAGTTTTACCCTTTCTTTTCCCATTCGTTTCATACAAACAAGAGAATTGAGGAAGATTCACTTTATGTAAATAGTAGCAATGCTAACTGTGGTTGTTGGTAGGCAATGTTCCATTGGAGAGCATGGCAGTGTACTGGTGAAGTTTATGTTCCATACAAAACCTGTTGGTACCTGACAGGCAGTATGTGTATGCTTGTTGAAATAACAATAGTTTTAACTCTTCCCTTTTAAAATATGCTTTGAAAGCATACTGGAGTTGTAACTGGGATGTTACATCTTTCAAACCTTCAATGTTAGCTGAACTTCCACTTTTTGATATATAATGTGGAATTCTTAACCCTTTTTGCTA